TTTCTTTCCAAAGCACCAGAAGGCAAGACATAACAATGGATGGAAACTAATCAAGGAGAGAAGCAAGCTGACCGCTTAGAGAGGCCTGAAAGGCCTATGAAGCGGTATATAAGTCTACTGCTATTGCTATTGCTATCTTCTCCCCGCAGAGCACCAGAGAGGCATTTCGCCATCGATTGTAGCTTTCCCTTCAGGGATCATCTTTTTCTCGGTTGGAGAGAATTCCGGCTTGTCCATTGCCACGTGAAGCTGATGGCCGACGGAGAGGTGCCCCGGACGGGATTCAGCCTGCAGTTGCAAGCTGCTTTGGAGAAGTGGATGCAGCCGGGATTCAAAAGGCAGGATCTGGGCCGGGCGGCTCCCAAAGCGGGCGAGGAGCTGGGAGGAGACCGGAAGAGCTGTCGAGGGCTGGAGGGAACGGAGCAACTGGTAAAACAGGAGCCGGATCTCCTCTCTCAGCAGTGGGAAGCCCAGTGGCAGGAATTTTTGAAGATGACTGAGTCCCAGCAGCCCTGGGGGGTTGTGTCCCTGGTCCAGGAGGAGCCCTCGCCCTGGAATGACGCCAAGGCCTTCCTGGCTTCCTTCGAGCAGGTGGCTGAGGCCTGCCAGTGGCCTAGGGAGGAGTGGGCATCCCGGCTGCTGCCCGCCCTCCGAGGAGAAGCCGAGCGAGCGTACTGCAATCTGGGAAGCGCCGAGCGAGAGGATTATGGGAAAGTGAAGGCGGCCATTTTGCAGAGGGACTCCCTGAGCCGCGAGAAGCTGCGCCAGCACTTCCGCCGCTTCTGCTACCAGGAGGCGGAGGGCCCGCGGGGGGCCTATAGCCGCCTGCAGGCGCTTTGCCACCAATGGCTGAAGGTGGAGCACCACTCCAAGGAGCAGATCCTGGAGCTGCTGATCCTGGAGCAGTTCTTGGCCATCTTGCCGCCCGAGATCCAGAGCTGGGTCCGTGGAAACAGCCCCGAGACCTGTACCCAGGCGGTGTCCCTGGCTGAGGACTTTCTGCAAATGCACGTGGAAGGGCATCAGGAGCAGGAGGTAAGTCGATTCGGGAGTTTGCAGTTGGGACCTTCCTTCGCAGATCAAACCAGGTGTGTGAAGCAGGAGGCACGCGTCAACCTTCATGACTGACAGCTGTGCCATCAAAAGAATTTAGGGTCTGGTTTCAGGGCACGTCGGCCCTTCACCTTAGTCTAGATAGCAAACCATGAGTATAAACACCTACCTGTTTTGCATACCCAAACCTTCCTGTTTGGTTACGGTGACTGAATCTTGCCAGTCTCCAAGTATATTTTTCTCCTCTTGCCTTTACTTCCCAGGTGCTGGGGGAGGGTCCCTTTTGGAGAAGCTTATTTCCCCCCCTCCCCTCCAATTGCTTCAGTGGGCCGAGAAGACCCTTTCTTATACATGTAGTCCTCGATTTGCAATCACAATTGAGTCCCAAATGTCCATTGCTAAAGAAGACAGCTGTTAAGGGAGTTTTGCCTCAAGGTTGACTCAGCCTTCCAACCTTCCAACAAAGATGATTAGGGGCCTGGAGGCTAAAACATACAGTTACATCAATTGGGTGTGTCTAGTCTTATGAAAAGAAGGACCAAGGGTGACATTATAGCATTTAGAAATAGCATTTAGACTTATATACCACTTTACAGACCTCTTTAAGTGGTTTACAGAGTCAGCCCATCGCCCCCAACAATCTGTGTCCTCATTTTACCACTGATGAAAGAAATGTCCTTCTGGGTTCGGCTCCAAGTGGGGAAAAAGACACTGGAGACATGGAGGCTGCTTGGAAAGATGGTTTATTGGTG